AAGATGATTATAAGAATATGAACTAAAGAGGAGGAACTGAATAAATATGTTTCATTATTTGGATTAAGAAAAACTTTCAGACATTTAGCTTCAAAACGAAAAACTCTTTTCTGTTGTTTCTTTACACAAAGTGATTATGATCAATATCTCGGTGCTCACTGGGTTCTACGGTTAGTCTGGTTCCATCTCCAGACATCACTTAGTATTGATTCATATTCACACATTATGAAGCATCAGAACATAAACGCTCTGATGTCACGAACAAACCTCAGGCAGAGAAACAACGCTTTGAAATCTGAGACACTGTTTATATTAACAACAAATGTCCAATATGAATATGTATTATTATGAATAAAATGTACATTTAGATATTTACTGTATACTGATGAATCTGATGTATTTATATTATTTTATACTTTGTGCTGATTTACTGAGAAAAACAGACAAAGATTGTTTTTAAAGCTGCTGCAAATATAAATAATATTAATAATCATAATCTATATCAGTACTTAATAATATGAATATCTATATCAGTACTCACTGGGTTCAATGGTTAGTCTGGTTCCAGCTCCAAACATCATCTTGTTTCCAGTATTCACACATCATGAAGCATCAGAACATAAACTCTGTGACGTGCTGAACCTCAGTCACACAATCATCTTCAAACATTTCACACTTCTGCCTTCATAACTAAAGCAGTCTAATAAATAAATGACTGTTTCCATTAATAATAAATGTTCATTTATAACTCAAATATATTGTTTATGCACATTAGAGATCTGAATTAATACAACGAGCTGATGTATTTATTGATTATGATAAAAACAAATATTGAATTGTATTTTCTACTTTGTGCTGATTTTATGATCCTGAATGTTGTAAAATAAACGTAGAGATTATTACATCAGAGCCTCATTAATAATGATGATCGTTATCTATTGTACTTCTGTACATATTCAAACACCGTAGAGTTTATTGTTAAAGACGCCTCATAAACAATAATGATTATGAAATGTGTTTCTACTCACTGGCTTCTACGGTTAGTCTGCTTCCAGCTGCAAACATCATCTTTTGATTGGTAGTCACACAACATGAAGCCTCACGACACAAACTCAGCCGAAGAGAACACGATGTTTACGTGTGAAACTCTGTCTGAATAAATACTGAACATGTTTTAGTTGATATTCAATATTAATACATTGATTATTACTCATCAATGAGTCCTGATCAACACACTTCATCTTCTTTAACTTCTGTTCGGACTTTGTTTGAAAAACACGAATCAAGTTTGTTACTAAAGAACATTCATATAATAATAATATTATTATCTATATCAGTACTCAATAATATTAATATCTGTCAGTACTCACTGGGTTCTACGGTTAGTCTGGTTCCAGATGCAAACATCACTTTAAATCCTCCAGTATTCACACATCATGAAGCATCAGAACATAAACCTCGTCCAGAGGAACATCGTTCTTAGTTTCATGTTTCTGTACATCCAGGTAACTAATATTTATCATAACTTACAAATAACAAGTAAACATTGTTATATTGTTACTGTACAGTAGAAATGCTGAAGCAGCTGTTTTATGGTTTTACATTAAAGATTCTCTTTCTACAATTTATGTTCATAAAAACATATTGTTGCTTTAGTGGAATGTTAAAATCTGTAGAGTTTGTTTTTAAAGACGCTCCATCTATAAATAATATGAATATCTATATCAGTACTCACTGGGTTCTACGGTTAGTCTGGTTCCAGCTGCAAACATCAGTTTGTATCCTCCAGTATTCACACATCATGAAGCATCAGAACATAAACTCTGTGACGTGCTGAACCTCAGTCACACAATCATCTTCAAACATTTCACACTTCTGCCTTCATAACTAAAGCAGTCTAATAAATAAATGACTGTTTCCATTAATAATAAATGTTCATCTATAACTGAAATGTATTGTTTACGCACATTAGAGATCTGAATTAATACATCGATGATTCTGATCAATACTTTTAGAAAATGAATGTTTTTACATTTCAGACTTCTGTCACAAAATAATCAATATTAATTATCTATTAAAAATCACTTTACTGTAATATAGAGATACTGAATTTAAATATTATCATCAAGACAATCTCATAAAACATATTTCAATGTTTTATCTGGATGATTCTTCATGTTTGTGTTTTCTTATTTCTTTTAGAGATAAAAGTTCTCCAACGTCATCGAAACAAAAAGTCCGTTAAGTGGCTGAAAATAATTTTCCAGATGTTTCACATGCTTTGAAAATAAATCATATCTATAAATAATATCTATAAATCATATCTATAAATAATATCTATGAATCATATCTATAAATATCTATAAATAATATCTATGAATCATATCTATGATGAATATGAGTACTCACTGGGTTCTACGGTTAGTCTGGTTCCAGCTCCAAAGAGGATCTTGTTCACACCAGTATTCACACATCATGAAGCATCACGACACAAACTCTGTGAACCGAACTTATTACATTCATAACAGATATTTACTGTGGAGTTAGTGATGATGTTCTTGCTTTACACTTCATAAGTTGGTGTATTTATCATTTTTATGATTATTTATTGTTATGTTTGACTTTTCTTCAGCTGCTGCTTCAGGTATGAAACATGACTCATATTATTAAAGGCTGCTGTTTGAGAGTTAACTTCTGTTAAAATGTATTTATTAGGTATCAGTTACATTATGAATATGAATTATCGGACTCATAATAACGGAATTAGTTACTATTATTTATGTTTGTTATTTTTCGTTTTATCGTTTCGTCTCTTTGATTTCATTTCTTGAGTTTTCGGTTCCAGAGCCGAAGCGGATTTTGTGGAATCTTCCGTTTTTCACACGACAGGAAACAAACTGTCGACTGAAACGTCGACTCAGCTTTTTGTTTTAGTGAAACGTTCAGAAACACGTTGGAGGATTTCATCAGCCAGCTTTAGCAAAATACTGAAGCGGAAATATTCATATTTCATCAGCAGAAAAATGCTGAACTGTGTTTCTGAGCATCTTAAGAAGTACAAAACTAAATAAGGAACTATTTCAGAATTATTTAGGCCTTAAACACATCTCTTGTTCCGTCTAAAGGTTCTCACTTGATTCCACCGTCAGTTGAGTTCCTCGACCAAAAATCATCTTCTGTCCTCCGGCTTCCACACAATAGGAAACACCTCAGCAAAAACCCCTCACACTCAGAAATACACAAAACACTCAGAAACACATAAAAACACTCGGAAACACATAAAACACTCGGAAACACACAAAACACTCAGAAACACATAAAACACTCAGAAACACAC